CTAACAGGCAGATACATGGGCATTTTTTTTCACCAAAGCAGTTACTTAAAATTTTCTATTTTTCCTTCAAACCCTCTATGAGATAAAGCCATTCATGTAGAAAAGCCGATTGTTCCCCTTGTAATGGATTTTAACTGAATTACGACCACTTACATGTAAGAGATTTATGCTGAAACCCTCAGGGCTGGAAGGACCTGCAGACCAATGTGGTCTCCTTGGTCTGCATTAACACCCTTGGAGTTGGATTGTGTGAAAAACCTCATATTGGCAGGATAAAATAAGCAGAGGATATAACTTTTGACACTCACTAGCCCTCAGAAAGATGCCTCAGATAGCGGAAAAACTAAAAGTGAGATTTGGGCTCTTCTTCACTGAGAAAAAGCCAAGCAATGTCCAGTACAGCTGCTCCTTTCTGTAGTCCCATGGGCAAAAGTTGTTGCTGTAGCTGCAGACTTTGGTTGGTGGGATGGACACTACCCAGCTGTACATGGTGGAGGCTGTGGATATAAATCTGGAAAGATATGTAGCCACAGGTATTTGGTATCTAGAATTACATAAGGAAGACAATGAATGTCAAGCATGAGGGAATTCTGCCATTATGAATATGTTTCTAGGCAGGAATATCATTTACCAATCTTGGATTAGGGCAGCCTACGTCTATTAAATTCCTCTTGGAAATAAAAGGCAAGAGCCAGTCACTTGACTCAGGGTGTGCAGTGTTTCCTACTCCAGGAACTCAGAGCTCAGCAGGATCTGACCTTGTAGAAGAGTTTAAGATTTTATACTAATTCCATTTAAACCACCTTGAATCCTTTATTAGTTTAAAAGTCTTTACTCCTCCCCATCAAAACCAGATAGTTAAGTAGCATACCATATAGTCTGTATATTAAACATAGAGATAACAATTTAGTGTGATATTTTATTATATTATCATAAATATAATATACATTGCTTTGTTATACATCATGCCAGAAAGGTTATTACAGAGGGAAGCTTTTAACAGTGATCAAGCACTTGGCTATTACCCCAAACAGGGCACCCTATGCTTTTTTCTCCCCAGGCAAATATTGCAGGGAGGGAAGGATATTTGTTGAAGCCTCTCAGGAGAGTTAGGATGAGAGAAGGATTTCAGTAATAAATTCAATGCTGTCAGCAGTTTACATTTATAAATAAATAAAAGTGCAATTACACTGAGGGTCTTTTGGAAAAAGCTCAGCCAGCTTCAGCTCCTGCCAAGGTTGGGAAATGGCATTTCAGTGTCCAGGTGGAT